AGGTGACAGGTTTTCATATTAACCATTTTCAGGATCCTAATTTACCTCCAAGGAGCCAAGCAACCAGGTATGTAAGTGCTACAGGACCCGATTTCTATTGCTGATGTTCCTTATGGGAGTGTGGTCTCACAAGTCATGATTTAACAAAAGAACTCCGAAATGCCAGAGTCACTTCCATCACTTCTCAAAACCTTAGCCTTCCACTTGTCCTATGAGTTTTAAAACCATCTGGCAAAAACTGGTGATGTAAATATACCAGTATATTTTTTTATCTAATCAGTTTAGCTCACTCCTAGAAAGGCAGTAAATCTCTTTCACAAGCACATCTCAACTGACAAATATTTTCCCACACCAAATCATCCATTCTCAGTTTCACACACTACCACATTCCTCTTAGGTATGTTTTATTTCCTGGATCATGCTTTTTCCTTGTATTTCAGTCCTGAGGAGCATTGTATGTTTCCAGTGACCACAAGACACCTTTTTTTTTTTTTTTTTTAAACAAGTAATTTATTTCCAACAGTATTGTGAGATACAGTAGAATACAAGTGGGAACCAGGTAATCATGTATTATTTTATAGTGTATTTTTCAGTAGATTATTCCAAATGTTACATCTGGAAATTTTAAGTTCTCTAACATTAGTTCTGATATCACGGTGACTAAGCATTTCAACAATAACAAGTCTTGTGGAAAAATCCATCTACATAGTTTTCTTTATCTCATTTGTTCTAAATTATAGGCTGCAACTGGGTGATTTGGATCATACAAGTGGGTAGCAAAGTTCAGTCTATATTTTCATCATGTCTATTCAGAAACTCAGATATACATGGGTTGATTTGAGATACAAAAAATTGTGCATGGTGTTTTCACTTCTCACGTTGGAAAGATTCACAATGTAAATGCTCACATATTTTATTTATATTAAAGATATTGGGTGGTGTATAATATCCCGAATGTGTTACACAGACTGCAGATAAAATGTTGCAGAACAGAGCACCAACTGCTCTGCCACCAAGTACTAGAAAGGTGGAACTTTGAAGGCCATCTAGCTTTCTCAGCAAATAGTGTGACAGTTATCAGTAATCAGGAATTAAACACATTTTGAAAAGCTCATATGCAAATACATGTGACATGCCTAAACACTGGGAGATGAGTCTTGCTCCTGCTTTCACTGAATGAATGAAATACACAGCTCCCAATAACAGGCTTACAACAACTCAAAGGCTTTTTTTAAATTTTCTTTTCCTGAGAATAGTTAGAATTTGTCTGATAAATTCCTCACAGCCTGTACAACTCAAAAGGTATCTGTGTGCCTCAGTGTAACCACCCTGAGCTTCCTTCCATCCCTTCTCTTCTAAAATCCAGTAATTACATATTTTGAATGTGTTTGTTTAAGTGCAAATACAGCATTGGAAGCAACTGTGCCATCATGGAGGAGTGAGAGACTCATTCATGTGTTTTTTTAGGATTCCAGAATGATAACGTGCCTGATAGACTTCCTGTGATAACCATCCACGACCATAAACGAAAGACATTTACCATTTCTGACCCTAAAAAAATATACTTTAACAGTACACCAAGTTATGTTATGAGGTGCAATTTAGAGCTAAAGGCCTTTAGAACATATATCTCAGTATTAAAGTACATGTTTTAAAAATCACACTAAGGCAGACGTATTTCCAGTCCACAAAAAGGTCACACTAGTGTATTATTCAACCAAATGTGACTGTTGCACAGTGATGATACCACTGCAAAACAACTTAGAGAAGCACATATCCCTGAAGGCCAAGGCTAAATCAAGTCCAAAGGGATGCTGAAGAGGGATGTTCCCTTACATTAATGCTGATCTCCTGCAGTGGGGCAGAACCATCTGTGATGACGGCCACTCCTAAGGATTTGCTTTAAGGTGGGTCATAAAACTCAACTCAATTGAGTCTCCTTCCAGAAATAAGTATCTCACTGAAAGACTCTTGATTTTGGAACAACACAGCCAATTGCATGAGAGAAGCCATCAGGTCCTGAGAAAGCTCAGGATTATTTCTGCCATAGTCAATGACAAACTCTTCCATAAGCTAGCAGACCTAGCATACCTTGCTTTCCTACTAATGTCCAGTAGTAGGGAAATATCCTTTACTGTGAAGTGGTCTCTTTATCTTAGCTTCCCTTCTTTCCCCTAGTCTTTTCAGAAGCCTCAGTATCTTGTCTCACTCTTTGAGTGAGTTCTCCTGGGACTGGTTCTGAGTGGTTGCCACACTTCATTAACAGACATTATTTCAAGGAAAAAGTCCTCCTAACTGAGGTGGCTGGTGCTATGTGCATGTCATGCTCACCTCAGCAGCAGAATTAGGCTGGAGGAGGAAAACATGCATCAAGCCATTTGTGTAAAGGGCCCTTAAGCATAAAAAAAGTCACAGCTTCTTATTTAAATACCACAGTACCATGCAAAATTCACAAGTGTCTAAGGAGTGTCTTAAAACACAAAATGGCAAATCTTTCCTTAAAAATCTACCAGTGCTATGTGTATTACTCTTTTCTTTACCTGTTTAAGCCATGCAAAAGGTTTAATCAAAGTGTCCCTTTAACAAGTACAGCATTTGAAGAGAAAAAACCAAACAGCCAGAGCAAATGCCTAGACAAAAAAACCCCTCCAAACCCACAAGTTTTGATCTCTCTCATAGAATCTCTTTAGCATGTTATTTATCCATCTGAGCAGAGGTATGCAGGAGCCTAAACACCGTACCTGTGTTGCCCTTCCCCAGGAGACTTAGTCCTTTCTGTAGGAAGGACCTCTTATCTGTAATTTGACATTGTCCATTGCAGGTCCCTAACCAGGCTCATACCTTTGAAGCATGATGCTGTCACTATGTTGGGGCACAGATAAGGACAAGTATTAACTGTTTTACCAGACCCCACAGGAAGCCTCTGTTGTGATGATGCAAAAGGTCTGGCAGAAGTGCTCACGTGGTGGGAGTGAGGCTGCTGTTGGGTCACCCAAAGAAGCCCTGTCCTGCCCCCGCCTGGGCTACATGCTCTGTCTGGGTAGAATAAGGGAGAGATCACAGCCCAACTGCAAATGCACAAAGGAGTCATCAATCTCATGCTCAAGGCAGGGAGCTTGCACCACACTAACAGTTTTTCAGGCAAGAAAAGTGTGAAACTAGGAAAATGAGCATGGCAAAGCGTGCTGGGACTATATAGTACTTCAAGTCGGGATAGCAGAATTGCCCTTGGATCACAGTGCACGGATCGAGGGTAGCAGTGGTTTATTATCTCATTAGAAACATCCAATTCCCTGTGGTAAAGATTGCATGTAGAGTACGTCAAACAACAGACAAGGCTATTACAGCCCACAGTTGGGACTAATGCTTTTTCCCCCCCTCTTATTGCTAAACAGGCAGGAGTAGCTTTTCAGCTTAAAAATAAAAACTGTATAATTACAGCAATAACACCACGCTCCTGACTGCTCTGCAGCTGCATATTGTAAAACTCAAAGCCACTGATCAGAAACAAAAGCAGTAAGTCAGTAACAGCTTTACAGAAATGTTCTGCTGGGGTGATTATGCCTGTCAAAATACTTCAGTAAGGGGGAAGACCAATTACTGAACATATTTCATGTTCCTTTCCCCCTAAAGAACCCTGCAAGTGTTCGCATCTTTTCCTAACAACAGATAAAGAATCCTTTGCCAGGGGTGTAATTAAGACTACATGAACACAGCAAAAAGCATGGCTCCTGTTCAAACAGTTAGGCATCAGTTACAACAAAAAGCCAGAAGCTGTCAAATTTTTATCATCTGTTATAAAAAAATATTTCCCAATCAGTGTTTCAATAAAGTTAAAAGTTAAAAACCCTCTACATTACTAATAAATTAAAAACCCTATACTTCCAACCATCTTGTAAGAAAGTAGGTAAGTAATTTAAACCTTTAGTTTACATAAATTAGCACAGAAATGTGTGTTTGAATAAGTGCACTGAAAACAGATACGCCCTCTTTTCTTCTGATATGTCTTATTTGAGTTATTAAGTAACAGGAAAGCCTTTATATTCTTTGCATGACCTTGAAAGTCTGCTAACACTAAATAGTCAATAGTCAAACCCCAGGAGAATGTTTCACCAGATAGACAATGACAAGAGGGATCATGAAGTACAGTCAAGTGCTTTGCAGCCTTATTACAATCGACTTCAACATTCAACTTCAGCGTATTTACTTCCAGGAAGAGATGAAGGATTTATACTGCAAATCAGGAGTCAAATTGGATGGGTTGATAGAATTAATTTTTTAAAAAATGTATTACAGTATCATTTCTTCACAAGTAGTTTGCAAGGCAGTAAAGGTGTATGTGAGTGGATACAATGTTCCTTCCCTTGACTGTGGATAAATCTCTTAGGTAGTGTTGGTGCTGTCCCTGAACTTTGCAGAGAATGGCTAATGGATAAGATGTTCTAATTGGAGCTGACAAGAGCCAATTAAGTGTCAGAAGAACAATCTGATAAGTAGGTCTTCATGTCTATAGGCATTTCCTGATACGTCTTAACTGTCAATCTGAATGTTAAACATCTCTATCTTCATCTCATTATTGCTTGATTTATTAAAGGAGAATGCTTTAATCTCTTTTGTTTGACTTTGGGATTGTTCCAGAAAAAAGAAAATGAGAACAGTAGGAGCAACTCTTAATTTGGAATACTAGACAGGGAATCCTAATTACAGTAAAGTCCTAATATTTCAACTGAGCAGGCATCTGGTTTGGTGACACCACTACCATGCAGCTGCCGGCACCATACCTGTAAAAAAATGGTAGATGCTCAGTTTAGAGGAGATCTGTTTCTTTAATGGGTGGAAGGATATCTGTGGACAGGCTAACAGGCTGCTCTCTGCTTTCAGTGCTTCTTGCTAGTCATACAGAAGACAACACTTCGCTGGATGGATCTCTTCCCTTCTTGTCCTCACCCCTGTCGATATCGATCACGTGAACTATGCCAGGCTTCAGGATCAGGTCATCGGTCTCCACGTGGCTCCTGCTGTCGTCCACCTCGATGTACTTCCCTTTGGAAGGCTGGGTAGCCTTGCTGAAGACGTCTTTAAAACGGCGCTTGAGTTCAACGTCTGGGCAATAGACATACTCATAAAGAGCACCAGCAAGGACTGCTCCTATTATTGGTCCCACCCAATATACCTGAAAAAAAGAGGTGGAAAAAAGACAGGCATTAAGAAAGAGAGAAGCTGGGAAGGGACCTTTTACAAGGGCATGTAGTGATAGAATGAAGGGTAATGGCTTTAAACTGGAAGAGAGTAGATTTATGTTAGACATTAGGAAGTAATTCTTCACTGTGAGGGCTGCCCACAGAAGTTGTGGTTGGCCCCTCCCTGGAACTGTTCAAAGGCAGGTGGGACGGGGTTTTGAGCAACCTGCTCTAGTGGGAGGTGTCCCTGCCCATGCAGGGGGGTTGGAACTAAATGATCTTTAAGGTCCTGCCAAACTAAATCATTCTATGATTAACCTCTAGAAAAAATAAAGAAGCCAGAGTTTCAGAGAAAAGAATGTAATTACAGACTTCACCCAGAAAACTTTCAGTAAAATACCCTGGCCCAATCTTTAAAGCCAACTCTGCTTTCCAGAAATGCACGGTTTTGTAGTTCCCTGGCTTTCATGAACTGGGGTGAAATCTGTTATGACATCAGTTGATGAGGCAGAGAAGTGTAACTACAGTAGGTTTCACAGACAGTGACCTGGAGCTTTGCAATTAAGGGACTGCTCTAAAGTCACATACGAAGTTGGTCAAAAGGCAGTCTATTAGGCAGTTAATGGCATTAGTCCTTTGTCACTTTTCCTTTCTGCCTGCTCAAAGTCTCCCTCTCTCTCACACATATATTTTATCCCCTTCAGAAATTCTCCCTTGTCACCTTGAATCCAGTCATCTAAACCACCTTGCATCCATAGTTGCAGCTTTCCCTTAAAAATTCCTCTTATGCCAGTGTTTAGGGAATAGTCAGGCACTGGACCTCACAGACCAGAGAAGAGGAACCTATGCTGACACATCAGTGAGGTACAGTTAACAACTCCCTGATTCCTGGATAAGATTTCAGTCTATATGTCTGGTTATCAGTCTTCACAAGCCAACAGCTGAGTGGCAATAAAGCAATGGACATCTACCACAGAGAGACACACACATCCTCTCTGGCTGCCTTACCTTCTCTTAATAGAAATAAGCTTATTTTCCCTCTTTAAGGGAGATTTAACTTATTTTTTACTTTGTCCAATAGCAAAAAAAGTACAGGTTCTTCATCATCCTTACTTAGATCATCCATAGCTATAACTTTTCTTGAGAGAAAAAAAAGGCCACACATCCTGGTGGAGTCAGGTATGACTCGTCACACACAACACACAGTTGTTTTGGCATAGCTTTGTTTTTAAACTAAGCCAGGGTAAGATGACTGAGAAGCAGGCCCACATCTTTAAAGAGAACATTTTGTCAGATTTTACTACTCCACCTCTTTCCAAGGGGCTTCCTGTAAAATTTTATCACTTATTGCCAGCTATATATATGGACTGCTTGCAAGATGAATGCACGGATTTAGGAACACACATATTGGACTGAAGGCAGAAGAATGGACAGAGTCCTCCTAGGATGCCAGCCATGGAAGAAGAGAGCTTGACCCTTGTGATCCCTTAGCTTTATCCTGAGTATAATGCATATGGGATAGAATACTGTTGGTCAGTTTTGGGTCCTCTGTCCAGTTTGCTCTTCCCTGCAGCATGGTCACAGGTATGAGTGACCCTTGTATGGCCTTTCATTTCTGGGACATAAGAAGTTTAGCAGAACCAAGCATTGACCTTGTTTTTTACAGAAGTAAGTATAAGTAAGAGCCTTTCTGCATACCACTCACATCATTACTTCTGCAGTAACTATGAACATCAAGAGGTATCAGTCCCAGAAGCAGACACCGTCTGAAAAATTTCAGAAAGTGCAGTCACTCAGAAGAGACTTAATCAAAAAGTAAAATTACTAAAGAGACAATTGGTTCTGTCCTAGCTCAAAATTAACACCAATGCAGAAAACTGATATTCTCTCTGCATTTTCACCCAAGGTGACAATGAACTTTTGAGGAAACAAAACCTTCCCTAGTGTACAGTTTTACTTCAGTATTTCAGACTCACATTTCCAGAATAATCCAAATTTGGTTTCTGCTCCCACAGAATCCAACGAGCAGTCAGCTACCTATTTAACTAATTTGAATAAGCAAATGTAACTGAGAGACACAACTTCATAGGGTAAGTATCTATTTCAGCATGACAGGCAGTACTTCTGTAACACTAGTAGGTCCAGGAGCCCATGGGCTTCTGTCAATGGCATGCCAATGTCATTGTACAAGAGGAGGAGAAAAGACGACGTTTCCAAGTGACCAGGCCAGTAACTAAGCTTTTCCTACAATTTGTCCATCATACATTTATTTATTGTTTACAGTTTTAGTTATAAATTACAGGCTTCCTCAGAGTATGGATAATTAATCTTGTGAAAAACTACACCATTTTTTTGTATTAACAAGCCATTCACTGGTAACTGGGTAAATCTGCCTCAATAGGGTAACTCTTGGGAACAAAGTTACACATGGTATGGTGTTCGCAGAAACGGAGCCTCAGGGCCTGAAGACAATGCTATTTCTGTTATTAGCTGCAGTGGGAGCAATGTGGGCTTTAAAATACTTTAAAAATCAAGAAAATCCTTATATGCACTGTAATGTGCAGCTCTTCCAGTTAACATTGTAACTGTCCCTAGAAGTGCTTTCCCTGTCTTTAATTAGGTGAGGTAGAGCTGCAATCCATCTCTCCCTTATAAAATGTGAATTGGTTTTTAAAAGGTTGAATAGTGGGATGCTACAGAAAATGGCTGCATCATTCACAATCTGTTATTAAATTTTTTTTCCTGCACAAATACTCCTAGTTAAGCTGATGCTTTCCAACTGAAGCAGCTAACATCTGGTCTGGTCTGCAAAGACCAGACTGCAACCCCTTCATCTCTCACTGCAGGCATTTGCTGAGGCAGGTTGTCCCCCGGGAACCAGATCACTGAGGGTCTCTGCTCTCATTTCATACGTCTGCCCCAGTTTGCCGCAGAACCAGGTGAAACGTGAAGCCAACAGAATTACTTCCACAGCTTCTCACCAGTGTGACCGGGCGGGGTTTGCAATCTGCCTCGGAGGATTTTTCTTTCTAGCAGTTAAATTCCTTCAGTCTCCCCAGATCACTCTTTTTGTATTGAACTTTTGGTACAGTTTCCTTTTGACTCCAGCTACCACCTCCAGAAAAGCAAGATGCTATTCCAGAGTCCTGCACACAGCCCCACAGTCCTGGGTGAGGAGCATAATCACACTGAAGCTCATGGCAGGTCAGGATCTGACTTCCTCAGTGATGGTCCCTATGAGTTGTACTGGGGCAGGTAACTAAAAGCAAATGATGTATGACAAATCTTGATAGCTGTTTGGCACTCTGGTGAAGGAAGCATGAAAACAGAGTTACCCATTGGTTTTCCCATCTCCCCATAATGACAGCAGGTCCAAATGATCGAGCAGGGTTCATACTGGCACCGGTGTAATTGATCTAAAGCAGAGACAATATGTTACGTGTTATTAAAGTCTTGAAGATAGTTATTCAGTTTCTGCTAGTCCTTATACTATGGGGACACCATGGTTTTGCATGGCTTCTAATATTGACAGCAAGTATTGTCAGTCACCTGAGACTTATCACAAAATTAACAAAGCTCTCACACAAACAGACAGAAAATCTGTGATGCAACACACTACCCAAGGGGACCTCCTGCTACTCCAAAGGGTTTTGGCATGGATCCATAAGGAATATAGCAGCTATATAGCTAGAGTAGCTATAGAGGCCATGGAAGTTTCCATTAACTTCTGAACTAGTCATAAAGGAACATGGGGTCTATTTTTTAAAGAGAAGCTATTAACTTACAGCAAATAAATGTCCAATTGCAACAGAAAAGCCAATTGCTAAAGCTACTGAACCAGTGACATCACTTCGTTTTGAATCACAGCTGGCAAAAATAGTAAAAACCAGCTGGAACGTAATTATCAATTCCACCAGGAGTCCATGGCCAGCGGAAAGATCCTTGTGTACCTGGAAGAAGGGAAAGAAACACCGGAGATGAAAAAAAGGTGATATTTTCAGTGAGAAAACCACCAGATACATTAATTCTATTTCAATGAAACGTATTTCTGAGTGGTACACTGTGAAAGACAACAATGAAATTTAGAGGTACAGCTTCCCCCTACTTTTCCTTATTTTTTAATTTTTATTTTGAGAGCCACGGAAAATTACTGCTGAACTGAGAACAGAAGGCATAAGAGTAACACCCAACAAGAACTTCAAAGTTAGACTGCAGAAGTATAGTTTATTTTTATACAGGGATTTGCAAATGCTGCACTTCCCCGTCACCATATTTTTTTCTTGGGAGCACTGTAATTTACTATTCAATTATAAATTCATTAATTAGCCTTGACTTAATTAATTTAAATTTCAATTAAAAATTAAGCAGTGTGCAGCTCAAGTGCATTTTTAATAAGTGCTGCAACAGGGCTAACTGATGGTATTCCTTGTTAGTTCAGAACAAAGCTGAAATCTAAGCCACAATCTATTTCAAAAGTATGTCATTTTAAATTGATGTTTTTTCAAACCCCAACATAATGGCACAGAATTAATTTCCCCCTCCCAAGCCCATATAAAAATGGCACCTCATGCATATATTATTTTGTATATATATATTAACATTACCTGCTGTCATCAGATTTGGGGAAGTTCTAAGAAAGAGAACTTCTATAAAAAGAACAGCTATAGATATCATTACACTGTGTAAACCAAACCTAGGGAGAGCTTTAAGCCCGCTCTAGATGTTGTAAATAAACCAGCAAGCTCTTGAAATCTCTACTTGAGCTCTTTTTATTCTGCGTGACACTGATTATATTTTCCTGGGCTCTAGGCTAGTTTAAGTTCAAGAGCTGGAGGAGAAGTGATTACCGCAGTGACTCCCAGGCCTCCCACCACACTTGGTGGTGTGACAAGGTAAAGGATGCCTGCGCCCACGATGGCTCCCAGGCACTGGGCAAGAATGTAGAAGACTGACTTGGCGAGGCTGATCTTCCTCGTGCAGACCATGGCCACGGTCACAGCAGGGTTAATGTGGCCCCCGCTGATGTGTCCAAAGCACTGCACCATGGTTGCAATGCTGAGCCCAAAGCAGAGGGAGATGAGGACCATGTCTACAGGCAGGGGGTTCTCTGCTCCACCCCAGTTAATCGTGGAGCCAAGGCTGAGGAGGACGAAAATGAGCATGGCCAAAAATTCTGCCGAAACAGCTTTCCAGAAGGGCTGTGTCCACACTCCTTTAAATGCCACCATGATGCTCTCACACTTACACAGATGTCCACACTTACTGAAAAGGAAAACAAAGCTTCGTCAGAAGTCACCAAATAAGCTTTATGCTGTCCTGTTAGGGGGTTGCTTTCTGACAGACTTTGGAGAGAAGGCAACCATGCCAAGCATCCTTGGGCTGGGACAACCACAGATTGCACTCTCAGAGCAAATTGCCCTTAAAACATGACCAGTGTCTGAGCATCTGCAGGATGCAAGGTGATTAATCACCCTTTGAGATAAGTCTGTCTGTATAGCTTCAGTTCACAAAAAGCAACCTCTGTATCTTTTGACATAACAGAGTAAGAAAACAAGGGTATAATTCTACACCAGTTGACCTCTGCCTGACTTAAGAATCTTGTACAAGCCCTACCACTTCCAGTGGCCTGTTGACCATCATCCTCATTAAATCAATGGGTATCCTCTCTTTCTAAGCAAATCTGTACTTGTCACAAAGCAGGTATGGCAGTTCAATAAAAAGCGGTATCTTAGTCGAACCCCAATGCTTTTGCTAACAGAGCTGGGAGGCTGCCGTGGGAGCTGTAAGAAAAAGCCTATTTGTTTGAACACTTGCACAAACCAATATTTCAATTTGTATTTATGCAAAGAGCAGCTTCTTCACTGTGGATGTAGGGTAAAAATTGAATTCAGCCAGAAGAATAGATGGAGTCCTAAATTCCGACCTTTAAATCAATCACGCAATCAATAAAGTGCTTACTTTTGCTCTAAAGGTGTCAAGTAAGCTGTGAAATAGAGCAATATTTTCTGTATGTGTAGTGTGTAGAACTCTGTGTGTCAAAGAAAGAAGTGTCTTTATTTTCCTCTCTGTCTGGAGATGCTATTTATTAGTCTACACTGCCTTCTTGATGAGTTACAATTTTGCTAGATGTTCAGATACCTATGAAAGTGGGTCACCAAAGAAAAGTTATTTGTGGTATTAATAAATTAGGAGAATAAGCCAAAAGGGAAGCATTTTAATGAGTTTCTAAGGAATGCTAATGATTCTTCTCTAAAAACAAAAGCAAAAAAACCTCCAACCTCTCCAAAAAGTAGGAAACAAAAGAAATAATATTCAGCTGCTACATTTGGGAACAGAATTTCAAGTGGAACTTATGCTCAGTTATCTAAGGTAACTGAGCTACAATGCATATTTAATACCCCTTACATTAAAAGGAAGCATAAAATGCATGTCTGCCCTTTTCAAGTTACTGCAAGAGGAATGGCCCATGAATTTCTTAAGAGTTGCAGTGAGTTAGGGAATAGCAATTTAATCTTGTGACTAGAGCAAATAATTTGTTTCCCTGTCTCATTTCTTATGCTAATTTACTGTGTATTTTGGATAGGTCATTTGAACGCTATCTCAGTACTTCAGACTCTCAGATGAGAACAAGAATTACATTATCTCGTCCAAATGGCTCTCGTAAAGTGTTTGTGAAGTGATCTGAGAGACCTGAGTGTGACTTGCTCTGCCAGAGAAGAATTGAAGCCAGAGCCTCGAAAGAGAATAAAGTCATGCCCGAAATCTTCTGCTTTTGGGTCACACTTGAGACAAATGGAAAGATGTTTTTGTAAGATGTCTTATTAACAGTAAGTCAATGATCAACTATCTAGACTAGAGTTTTAGTTCAAAATGGCTCTAAAGTCATTGCCACCCCCAATGCTGAAGCTCACAGGTATCTGGTCATCTTCACCTTTGAACCCTGTGCCCAGATTCTCACTGAAAACTAACAGGTTACTTCTGAAACAAACTATTATTTCCTCACTAATAATTTAATTTAGTGACCTTAGTAAGACACAGCTGCTATATCCATACTGAAAAAAAGCTCATTTTCCCAGGGCATGTCCCAGGTGAATGTTTCATGTAGGGATGAGGAATATGCTGAAGCCCATGGAAAAGAAACCTGAACTGTTGATGGGCCTGTTTAGTAGCAGGCTCCCACTTATGAAGAGCAGATCTCATACTGCTTCTCCAGCTGAGACCAGTCAATATTATTTGCAGCACTGAAAATGGAAAAATGCTGCGTGCAAGCCAAATGCATAACTCAAACACAGAAGCTTGCTCATCAACATAAAGAAAGTTTATGGTCTAAATCAGCATCCTACGCAGAAAACAATCAAAATGGTAGGACTACACTCTAAGCCACACTTTGACAGTTCATAATCTAAACATCTATTTTTAATGCACGTGTGTTTTCTGAAGCAGTCTGTTTTTCTATGATTTCAACACCCAGCAAAATGCCCAGCTGTCATGGCCAAACTTCACTGAAACTGCGCATTTTTCTTCATCACAGCAAAAAAAGACAACCAGCACTCTACAAATGTTAGTAACAGCTTAATACTGTGTTTGAACCCCGCGTCCAGGTTTTCGCTTAAACCCAAAGGATATCAGCAACTTAGAAACCAACATCACCCCCAACATTCACTATTAATTCCCAGCACGCAGTCCATTCAAATGCTTGAGATGGGACAGAGAGAGTGATGGCTGTGCCAGGTCTGAAACCACAAAGTGACTTTCCAGCAGCTAAGAGTTGCCACTGAAGTCACAAAACAATTTTTCGAAGCGGTTGTTGTTTGTGGTTGCCTTAGATAAACACCAAATACAACAGAAGAGCAGGAAGACACTTTTATGTTACGCCCACACGTTAAGATTCTCTGGTCTGAACTACGGAGATTACAGAGCAGACTGATAGGAGCAAGGTGGGTTTTTTGAGCTCACGTTGCCATCACGACTGCAGACGTGATTATGGCTTTAAAGCTGTAACAGTAGAAATAACAACAAAGGCTTCAGGAGGGGGGGAAAGAAAGAAAAAAAAAAAAGGTTTTTTGTTTTTTTTTCTTTTTTTTCCCCTTTTCTAACTACTACCACTACTCGCAGTGGAGCAACCAGCCCGGGGGCGGGCTCGCAGCCAGCCGCTCCACACGACATGCTGTGGCACAGAAGTTCTGTGCGTGCTGCGGCTATTTCCAGTGGCATCTCCCCAGCAAACTCACGTCCACCCCGACCTGCCCCTGGCACGGCCGCCTCTGGCTCAGACGGGCTCAGGCACCCACTTGCCAGCTGCGGGGGGAGGCGGGGACCCGGCTACTGTGGCAAAGCGACGGCATTTTCGCAGGTCTTTTGCTTAGAACGATTTCGCCTCATTTCCCAGCGCAATGTTGAATGAGCTACTGGCACGGGTGCCTACAGGAGGTGGGAAGCAGCAGCCCGGGAGCCCGGCACACAAGCTGTTTGTGGGGCTGTACGGGAGCTGGGCTTTCCGCACACGAGGTGTCTCTGTCACAGGAGCGCAAGTGGCGAATAAAACAAAGTTTCAAAGGGCGGAAAAGGAAGGTGGTGGGGGGTGGGTTTACAACCCTCTGCCCCTCTTCGCACCTCAAGCCTGAAACCCCAGGCACGACCGAAACGCTCCATTAGCGCCCTGAGGGAGGGAGGTTGGTGGGACGGTGGGGCTGCCCGGCTCCCTGGGCAGGACCCGTCGGTACAGAAAGGCCGGGGAACGGCAGCGCTTCCCCCCGCTAGCGCAGCCCGGGGGACGGACACCCGAGGGCTCCCCAGGGGCGCGGAGAAGGGCCGCCCCCC